TGGAGGAGAGCCTGCTGCTCCCGGCTTCCCTCGCCAGGTCCCCATCTCTGCCTCTCCTCGCCTCTTTCATTCCTCCACGCAAAACTGGGTCCTCACCGCTGCATCTTGGCCTTCTGGCCAAGCCAGGCACTGGTGTCCTCCAGTGCGGCAGCTACGGCGCCACGGCCCTGCCGCCCCAACACAGCCACATGGAGCTCCTCCTGGCCACAATCCTATCCAAAACCCTGAGCAAAGGGACCCCCCTGGAGCTGTGCCCGTGCCAAGCAATGTCCCCGGCGTGGCCATGGTGCCCTTTCGCCTTGCACCTGGGCACTGCAGCCCCTCGCCCCTGTATGGCCTCGCTTGGGGCTCCTCAAAGCCAGAGTGCCCGTCTGGACGCGTGTAACAGCCCCAAATGCAGGAGAGAACCATTACAGAGGAGCTGTATGTTTGCCCTTTGGCTTAGGCTAAATGTTTTTCTGTTGACTGTACTGTTTGCAGGAATTTTAAAGAATTTTATTTATTTATTTTTAAACATCATCAGACATTCATTGCACTTTCCCAGGGGACCAGGTTGAATTATCTGTTGTGAATAATTCATCCCATGAGTTTAGTCCTTTTTCTGTTCGTGTGTATAAAGTTCCATTTGCATTTGTAATCACCACATGCTCAATAAGAGCAATATGGACTCATAATTCAACTTACAGGTCTCTCCTGCCTTCTGCAAGAGGAAAGGACAAATGAGCCCAAAGCTCTGATTTTGGCTAGAGGAAAAGCAGCAAGTACATTTTGCTATGTGCCCAGCACCCAGAAAGCAGGGAGCAGGAACCTTGGCCAGTAGCTGTAAGCTCTTCCCCCGTTCTTCGCTTTGACTGCACCTTCATTAATCATGTTGTGTCATAAGTCCCTCCATCACCTGGTGTGGGTTCTGCTCTCTAGTCAGATGACTGGAGCTTGATAATAAAGATAAAACACTAATTCCCTTGTGCAAATGCAAATACATGGAGAAGACACCCTTCAAAAATTAAATACAAAACAAAACAAAAACATGGTCACATGCCTTGGGAAAAAGTGGACAGAACAGCTCATAACTATGAGACCATCAACCAGATGGCTGAACTTACCGACATTTGCACACTGAAATGGGTGTTTTGCTACATTTCACCAATTCTTACAAGCACTGAGACTAAAGTCTCAGAACGGGGTACAGAGATACAAAAAGCAGAGGACAGATGACTTAATGCTTTGCAGCTGCATGAAACACTCACGTTATTGTGCCCTCTCTTTTTGTGTCTGAATATCTGCAATCATGATGGAAAGGGTGGGTTTTCAGCTTGATTTTCAGGCAGCTTAAAATCCAAATGTTAATGGAGGAAAGTGGCCTCAGGTCTCTCTGAAATTGCTAGTTTTATGAACCGATCTTTTCCCACATGTTTTGGTTTCAATCATTTTACACATTTAAAAATATTTAAATAACCTTGAAGCTTTTATTTTGAAAGTGACAAAAGAAACATTCCAACTTCTTCAGATTTATTTTGGAAAATCATTGTGTTTTAACCTAAACGTGAATTCACAGCATGCTTTGGTCAGCCTGCACTTGCATGGTTCAACAGACAAAGCTTTAATCAAAACATTTACCAGCTTCTAATTTGAAGAGTCATGCTGAAAGGTGATTACTCATGCAAAATAGCTCTTGCTATTCATCCTGGTGATGTTTGGACACCTGAGATCTGTAAGATCAATGGGGTTGGGTGAAAATGTTCTCTACTGAATCTGTTGTGCCCATCATCTCACATAGATTCAAATGCGTCACAGGAATTTTAGCCCATTTTGGGTAGTTCCCTTGCCTTTTTAGTTAGTCCTTCTTGACAGAAGGGTGAAGACAGCATCTCACCTCACTGTCATTTCTGAAAAACTATCAAGAGCTATGGGATCAGCTGTGTCAAGATCAGAGAGATTTATTCTGGGTAAAGGACAGGGAGACAGAGGTATTTTGAGCCATGTGGTCCCCTTTTGTTCTTTCTGGTTTTACATTCTGGGAAGCCTGCACAAAACCTAGGTCAGCAATACTTGCTACTTGCTGATACGTTCGGAAGTTCAAACTCACTCCCCTGGATTAAACTGGGGATTTTTGTTTGACTGTTCTTCGTCTCTGCAGGTCTGAAATGTCTACATAGACAAGAGGCAGAAATTTTCATTTCATGCTTCTTTCTAGTAGCAGCCCTCTCCACAGATTACCTTAGACAAACTCACTTTTAAGCCAGAGTTTACCCATTTTCATGAGAAGCCCAAAGTTCTCTAATTTCTTTTGGTTAGCATTCTCTAGCTGTGCTTCTAACCTCATTTATACTGTGAAGTTTATATAACTTTTCAGGATCAAAGAAACTACATCAGTTTGAAGCTGGTAGGTCCTGAGACGATAAGAAATGAAGTTGCAAAAAGTGAATTGCTGGACCTTCGCCAGCACAGAGACTGCATTTGGACCAAGGCTGGTGAAGAGACAAAGTCAGCAGGCTTTTAAAATCTGTCTCAGTTATCATACCAGGACAAAAATCTTAAGGATAAGCACAAGGGAGGCCCAGAGCAAAACAGGTCGATAGGGAAAACCGAGCTCACTGCTTGAAAAGTTATTACAAACATGTGTTTTCCTCTTACATGGTTAGATATGCTACTGCACAGAAAAACACTTCAGTGCATTACAGTACCAGGAAGTGGAACAGACACTGTTCACTGGATTAAAAAATCAATGGGTTCATTAAAAAAGGCATAAGTAATATCAGATCTCTGCTGAGACCTTAAAATCTACTTAGGGAACCACCAGGAAGAAGAAAAGACAACAAAAAAAAATCAGAAAGAGAAATACGGTATAAAGGAATTTCTCCCATTTTAGGTATAAGGCTTCCTGCTATAATACATACCTGTGCAGAGGAGTCTGTTCATGCAGGTATGGTGGAAAAGTGCAAGTCTTCTAACATTCACCACTTGTTTCCATTTGCTTCCCAACAAAGCAATGTCTCTGATACCTCCCATCTCTCTCTCTCTCTCTTTGCAACCCCTGCTGCAGCACCGGGATCTCCTCGGGGCCTTGTCCTCTTTGCTTCATCCTTCTCTTTCCCAGAGAAGGCATCCTTTTTGCAAACCAAACTCATGAGCTGCAAAGACGCTGCGAAGAACAGCACAAATGGGCAGTTCAGCACGTCTGGAGCTGACCCTCACTCTTGAACACGGCAATGCTTGTGGATATCTCAGCGGGAAGCATTTTTGAAGGTGAAACTACTGTGTATAGAAGGGAAAATAAAGTGAGGCAGGTAGAACATGAGGACCATGGGGAGTATCCTTCACTTCATCAGTCTGTTCACCAACTCCACACAGGTGTTGTGGACTTCAGGCTCTCTGCCGCTGGCAACTACTTGGCTCTATCCTGCCTCCTTATTAATGCACAAAAATTTGTCCTTGGGAAAACCTGATAGGAGCATAAAGCAAGTGTAAGAAAGAACATGGAGACCAGGAGATGCACATGTCCTTGGAAAGTGTATCCCCAGTCTCCTGGGAGATAAACTGTCTTTACTTTGGTGAGGGAGCTCTTTGCTTGGGTTTTTGGTTTTGGACTGAAGAGCTGCTGTACCGGGAAGTGTATACAGTTCAACATGACCTGTTTCTAAAAATGGAGAGCTGGACTGTATTTTGAGAAAATTACATCTGAGACCCACAAACTTGCAGAATTTGCAGGTTTCTGATGCAGAGTTCAGCATACATAACCAAAAGCCTCAATATTCAGGAAACCCCACCAAAAGAGAGCTGGGGTACAGCTGCTTGATCAGGTAAGTGTCTGCATGCACCTGGAGCTCAAATGTGCAAGAGAAGCAAAACAGCCAGCTAGTCCACACAGACTTAAACACTGGTGCAATCTAGCTAAAATGGAGACGAGTCCCATCTCCTGAGACGAGGTACATCTTGGAAGATGGTGAACTAGATAAGAGACCTGTTAGTGAGGACTACCCAAAGGAGAAATGCTTCTTATGTTCACCAATAATATCTTTGCAATCACTGCAACAGTGGCCTGCCACACCTCCATGCATGCAAGCAACCCCACGGCCACGGTTAGGTTTTCTGTTATCATTGTCACTCAGCCCCAGCACCAAACCTACCTGCAGTTTTCCAGAGAACATTTTTGCTTTCAACAGAAAATGGATTCTCAGGACAGCCAAAACAATCATAAGTTTTCCGAGATCAAGTAAACAATTTGAACTAAGAAAAAAAACTATATATTTTGTTCAATATTTTGTATTTTTTTTGCTAAAAGAACGTTTCTTTGTAAATGGCCTGTTTTTCTGTTTTAAATAATAAAATAAGAAAACAGTTATCCTCCAAAATGAAATGAAACACTTATTTGACCCGGGAGAAAATTATTCATCTGTTTTTCGGTTCACCCGGCAGATTGAAAAAAAATCAATTATATGCACTCAATCTCTGTGTCACCCAACTGTTCTTCCCAATGCAAAACAAAAGGATTACAGATGCAGAAATAAGGGAGAAACTGAAAGAGGAAAAACATCCTGCATTTGTCTTAAAGCTAAATGCGAATTAAAAATGCAGGCAGTGCATTTAGGCCCCCAAGGGAGAGATTTACTTCTAATTAATAATATGTTCGTGCCCTAGTCCTGTGCATTAAACCCCACCCTAGATTAATCCTTCTGTAACACGGTAGCTAGAAACTCTCTGAGTTACCCCAGTCCAAACCCAGATTTACTTTTACTGTGATTACTAG